TAAAAAACTTTATTTCTTTGAATTAATTCGAAAATGTTAAAAGGCATTCATTGTTTTGGTTACGATTGGGTAAGCTGGCTCAACGTCGTGATTAACTAAATAAAAGGAGCCAAATAGTTTCTTTGTATTTGTAACTCTCGAATTTGTATTTATTTTTTCTCCAAGGCGTTAGTATAATTAAAATATTTTATTTTACATATTATACCGTGGGCATTGTTTAATCAATGCTGTAAGATATTGCTAAGTGCTTTTCAATACAATTGTCTTGCACAGCTGTACCTATATTACTTACAAACTTTGTGATAATTTCATAAAATATATTAATACATATTATAATAATACCAACAGACTTTTGCTCTTATTTTTCTATGTGTTTGACGATGGCCAGTAATAAAATATCTATGTTTTCTAATTTTTCTCAAATTGAAAAATACATTAGTTGATAGTATTTTACAATAAATTTATAAAAACATAATAATATTGCAACAATAACATTGTAATATAGTTATAATATCATTATGCAATCTAATATATTGTTGAATTTTAACACGTTAATGTTAAGGAGTTAATAGTGTTTATTTGTATTTTAAATTTAAAAATGTCTTAATATGTAATTGTATATTGCATAGTGTGCTGTGTCTTGGTGAGCAGCTCGCTTTGAATAAAAATATAGTTTCTCTCACTATAAAATTATTTTAATGCTTCGCTTCATTTCAAGTTTTAATTTAATAATTAGACTTGACATTATTTTATAATTAGCCCCGTAATTCCTAACAAAAAAAAATTGAATTTTGATGTTGTTTCAATTTTATTTTGGTCACAAATACTATAATTATTAACGTGTTTTTTTTTTTTTTTAATAAGTACTAAGTTTCATGAAAAAAAATCCTATTTTAAAAGTACAATTGAATATCAAACCGGTAAACCAAATAGTCGTTCAACTCTAGACATCTACCCTTAGGATATAAATTGTATTGAAGCATTAAAACCCACAGTACAACGCGCTGTGAATAGTTCAGTTGTTGTCTCACAATTGGGGTGGTGATCGTTATTTCTTCTAGCCATTGATTGAACTGGGGATATTAAAAAGTTTTTGTTCGAAATACCGCACCACTATCGTTTTACCCCCATTTGGCATTATCACTACTATTGTTTTATTGAATTGCCGTATAAATTATTTGCCATGAAAACTGAAAGGGTAATTAATGTTGTTATGTTTGCTACCTGTACCTACACACACACACACACACACCGTTTAGCAATAAATTTTATACTCACAATAAAACACGTTAAGAATAATAATTACTAATATTCGTGCGGTCTATACCTATATTATACAAAACCGTTTGGTTTAAAATAAAAGTATGGCATACACACATTTACATAACTCGCTAATCGATTATACGGTATTGGATTCACGGTGAACATTTATCTGAACTCGGATAATAAAAATCAACACAATTACATGACAATTGATTAGGAGGCCGCTAGCCTATTTAACCTTAGTTTGGCCCATTGCTATATGTGTAAGCCTTTAATTAAATAGGCTGCCTACATTGAATTATATAATTTGATAATGTCATTATTTTTTTTTTTTTGCTTAACTAAAAATGTTTGTACAAAAAATAACAAAACTAAAAGGGAAGTTTAATTAGGTTACAGTTAATCAAATATCAACGTTAGTACTGAATAATTATGCATTCAATTTTGTTTTTGTATGCACTCGTGTACCTATTTTGCATATACATTGCGCCTTCAAGCAAAATGTATATTTTAATTCGAGCTTTTGAAATAATATAACCATTGTTGATAGTAAATGAAGTTAATCAACTAACGCTTGAAAATAAAATTTACAACATTAACCACACAAATCGGGTCATCAAATTATATAATAAGTATACCATATTATGTTAAGACAATTAACCATATTGGGTGTAAGCTATTTAAATATTAATAATGGGATAAAATTAAATACATTACTGTAAATTATGTATGTCTGTTGTGTTGTAATATATTTATGTGAGATAATATACCTATAATATTAGTATATAAACACTTATTAATACTAACAACTACTAATTTACTAACACCCAATTCAGAATATATTAAGACCAAATTAAGACACTATTAATTATTACAGTAAATATAACATTTTTTTCCCTATCACCTAACATAATCGCAGTAAATAGTTTTACGGCGTTACACGCAAAAAGTGCGTTTTTTCTTGACCAGTTTAATAAAAACTTTAGCTGATTAGAAAGCTTAATCGACAAAAAATGTACATAAAACGTTAATTTGCCCTTTTTATTTAGTCATGTTTTTTTTTTATGTAGCCTTACACATGTTGACTTATTTAGACGGGTTCAGAGAATGTCGTATTCGAGTTTACGGCTCTCTAATTATCGTACCGTAACGTTGTTAATTTTATTCTCTTTTTTTTTTTGTAACAGTGTAAGTTTAAAAAGAAAAAAAATACATGTGCGAGAGTGAATACTAATTATCGCACAGCGTAGGTATATAAACCGGGAAAAAGGGTTGAGACACGGTGGTGTCATATATTATACGTTTACCAACGTTATTCAATTAACTCTGCAACGTACTCGGTGCTGCAAACAGCTAAATCGAATTTACCTTGTACACTGTGCACGTTTATTATGTGCAGAGAAACGAAGAGAAAATGTAGGTGGAACGGCTGCGAGTAGTTCACACGTGAAACGCGCTAGATGTTAATATATTATTGCTTTTTTTTTTTTTTAATTTTTAATTTCCTACTACCCTCGTGTGCTTGAATTCTCAAAGCCCGAAGGGATTGACATTTGATCACTGGTGTGATTCAAAATCTAAAAATTAACCATTTTTTCCCCAACGGTACAAACGTACCTATCCATTTTTTTTTTTTTGTACAACATTACATAATATAACGCCGCTTGCCTCTAATATTTATGACGGCAGTATTCTCTGGCGAAACGAAGCAAGTAGTGTTGATTTACAAGAGTCTGTATAAATGCATTCGCCAACAGTGTAGTACCCGTAGACATCAGCTAATTTATAATAATTAATAATTTGATACATTAGCAGTCGGTTTCACCGACATTTGTTAAATACACTCTTTTAACACAATGTCAGTTAACAATTCATTTAAATTTAACATCTGGTTAAAAGAAACGAGTTTTACCATAACATTAGTATTGTTAAATTTTATTTGTTAAGTTAACAAAACGTTAGTTGGGTTACCAAAGCGGTTACCTCGATTCCAACGTTTTCATTGGTTATTAAGATATGTAATAACTGATAAGTGATTGTATTTAATTTGTCGGTTTGTTATCATTTGGCATTTTATTTTACTTTCTTTTAACGTTTCGGTTTATATAAATAGTTTATTTATAATGTTTTAACACATTGTTTAGATAGTCTATACCTTTCTAAAAATAGTTTATCACCAAGGTCATTAAAATAATTTTGTCTATTTTAAAGGCCTAAAAAAAAAATAGGTAGTGATAAAAATTATTTCCATCGTTTTACACAAGACAGGCAAGACATAATAACATTATTATCTAAATTACAAAATACAAGAAATCATGATATTTGAACCTATAATACAAGTCTATGCCATTCCGTTTTACCTAATCTACCTACATGGAAAAACTTCTGCTTACCTAATTAAGGGTTATCGAAGATGTCTTTTCTATTATTCTCTAAATACCCAATATAAAGAAGTTCCTCGTCAAATGTGTAATTTATTATTACATATTACTAGTATACTCAGTCAACAAAAATTATAAAACAAAATCTGAACTAGAAAAATATAAATATTAAATGTGGGTAAGTACTACAATACATTTTAACAAGCCGAATTCGGGTGATTAATTTAACAATCGTTTAAACAATGCGTTAACGCTAACAAATTTCGATAAAACTCAATTTTCACTAACTAATAAATTGTTAAATATAGTTAACAATAAGTTAAATTGTTAACAAAAGTTGGTGAAACCGGCTGATAACATATTAGCTATTATGGAGTTTCATAAGTATCAAGGTAAAAAAATGTATACAACTTAAACGCATTGCTTATTTTGAAATTTTATGTGCATTTTTCTATTTCTATTTTTCTTTTAAACCGCTAAACCGAGGTTTTAAAATTTAGTCACCATATAGACAAGCCCTATATCATAATATTAACATTGTTCAAAATTCATATTGAATGAAATAACAAGAAAACCAATTAAAACCATAATTCCAAACATAATAATCTTTTTACAATTGATAATTGTAAAGGTCTTTTTTGGTTTTAAAATTATGTTTTATTTGTTCATTGCTATGAGTCAGATTTGTATTAAAAAATATACAATGTATATATCTTTGTAAAGACATTATATGCTAAAAAATATGTATCTATCGTTTTCAAGCTGCACATGTTTTTAATAAACATTGAGAAACACCAACGTCAAGAGGTTATGTTCGGGGGGGGGGGGGGTAATATAAACGGAACACCACATAGTAAAAAAAAATATTGTCTTATACGTTGTAGGCAAAGTACTGTACTAAAAACAAGTCAAACATCAATTTATTTATAAAACTCGAAAGATGTTTTAAACTTAAATCCAGGTCTTTTTAGCTATACCGGCTAGATAAACAACTTTGGTTCTAATAACCTAATCTAGCCTAACTTTAGATCTATTATTGAGTTTCTATTGGTTGTATTTAAATAAGCACTTATTTTTCCGAACAGACTAGGTAAACATTTGGCAACACACCTTTAATAGTTTGTATGTTGTTTTAAATATTTTGAGGGATCCCTTAGTGCTTAGGTCTAGGAGCCGCTCTTCTCTAATTATCTCAAAACTTTTCATTGTGTCTAGTTGGAAAAGTAACCATTCCGGTTGTACTTCAAATAATTCCAAATAACGATTTTATTTTTTGAAACAATATTTATTATATTTTCTTAGTACATTATATTTTATAATTTCACAAACGATTTAAAAATTAATATTTTATAATACTTGTGGAAACAAAATTAATAGTCTCGCACTTAAGAAATGTTCTACTGACACTTGCCTAGTCATGCAAATGCATAACACCATATCTCCGAATAGGTCATCATTTACTTCATCTAAAACCATCAATGAGTAATATTATAGATACTAGGTGTTTTAATCTATGCTAGGTTCATGACCTAAGTAGTTTTTTTTTGCGAAAAAGTTAATCTCTATGCCAATAAAGATAAATAAAAAACTTTGACTAAAGTGAGTTTTATAATATAAAAAATTTCAGGAATATTTACATATTTCGGACTACAATGGTAAGAATTGGTTTTATGAAAATTATTTATAACCTTTTATGAATAAAAGTAATATTTAAAAGTTTCATTTTTTGTAGTGGCGAATGAAAACCACTGACTCACAGTTTCACAACAAATCAAAAGAAAGCTTTTATTATTTGACAAATATAATATATTTAATGGTTACTGAAGTCATTTAGAGTCCTTCCGCTTGCTACGATATAACTCGCCACATCATTGAGACAATCCCGGCCCAACATTTCCGATAATTCCATAGTAGTAAGTGGACCTGTGTGACCTGAATTACTGTTGAAACGTTTTATAGCACGGTCTATAGCCTGAAAAGTATTAAAAGGCATTAAAAAATATAGCTTAATATAATATAACATTTTTAAAAGTGAAGTAAATTCAGGTGCTATAATGGTTGACAAGATTTTAGAAAATAAATAGAAACTATTTGCCTCAAATCTTCCGAGATAACAATATATTCTGTTTCATCTTACATAAGTTACTATGTATCATTCATATAAAAAAATATGAGGAATCTTACAGAAAGTATCCTAATAATTTTTGTATAAATCATTATGTCGAAATATTATTTATTTCAAAACGTTAGCCAGTTTATTAAATATTTGTACAGTTAAATAAAACAGTTTTTAAACAATTACTAGCTAAACCTTAATTATGTTTTAAAATGTTTCTATACTAATGATATTTAAGTATAAAATCATTCGAATGAATTTCAAACATTATAATTACTGTACAACATTTCCTACATGGGTTTGTCTGCAATCACACAACACACTAGGCAGTTTTATGTGAAAAGAAAATAGAAAATTAACCAAAGTAATTTATTCATAATGAATGTCATAATCATTATTTAATTTTTTTTTTAATAAAATACTTTAGACACAAAGATAAATATACTCAAAATCTTTTGAAAAAATTATTTACTTTATAATATTTATTATTAACAATACATAACAAGAGCAAATTGTCTATTTCACAGTTTGCCTACATTCAGAATTGTGTAAAACCTTTTTCGAATAATATTTCTAAAATTATGCTTACAACTTGATCCCTCAAAAATTCTGTTACCGTCATTTTCTTTTGTTCGCAAATGAAAACCACGATATTCCAGAATAGAACATAATCTACTAAGTCTAAAACAAACAATGAATAGGTAATACTATTGATGCTAAGTCATTACAATTTATGTTAGGTATATTGTTATAATATAAACAGCGATTGCACAGTATCCGGGAAAATTATTAAAGAACCAACGTTGTGCTACCCACCACAAATAAACCTTAAACATTCATTGAATTTTAATATCTGTTCATAATATATTAATAAGCAAACTCATAAGTAATTTCCCACGAACATTTTTGACAAAAGTAAGTTTTATAATATGAATTTTGTTACTACTTTTTACATTTTCCAGACTACAGTGATAAGATTTTGCTTTAGAATAATCTTTTGATTGAATGGTTACTTAAGTCGTTTCTTGTCATATTATTTGCTGTCAGGTAATTATTCACAAAATTTACATATTTGTCGCCCAGAATATTCAATAATTGAGCCGTAGTAAGAGCAGTTTCCTGGCCTGAATCCTGGTTGTTATTTACTACAAAATTATATACAGCCTGAAAAGCATTAAAACACATTATTAAAAATTTTAGTTAGCTATAACCCAACATCTTAAAAGGTAAGTAAATTTAAGTGCTATAATTTTTATAAATATAATGCAATTTTTCAAATAGCTTTTAATATGTCTATATTTATATGTTATCTAGATGATAATTAAAAAACCTTTTATTTGAATGATGCACAACTCTGCTTACAATAACAAAACGTACTATCCAATTCTAGGTAAAATTAAAAAAAATTACATACAAGGGGAACTTAATAAAAAAATATATACTAACCATATTTTTAATTTAAAAAAAAAAAGTAAATAAAATTTACAAGATGATAACCGTTTATTCAGTTTGCATGATTCTTATTTCTTACCACTTCATCGGCTGAAGGAAATCTGAACGCAACAGTTTGAACCAAGATATTTATGGTAAAACACAAAACCAAAATGTATTTTTTTGTATTCATATTCTGTCTTCTTTAGCAGTTTAAAATACGTGTTTAAATTTCAATTAAATAAGATAAGAGTGATTTTCTTATCGATTAGTAAGTTGTATTTAAAGTGCATTCTCAAAGAATAACATGCTAATAATGAAAATAATATTTTTTTAAACAACAGTATGTTTTTAAGAGTTTTAGTTTGCTGTAGAACGCTTTTGAAACTTTGTAAACAATACTTTAGCAAATAGTAAAGTGAAACATATTTTTATGCCGAAGAATTGTTTTGATAAAAAACATGTTTTACCTTAATAACATATTTTTTAAGGTAAATAGTAGAACATTTTTCATAGGATAGAACAATAACCAAAATAATAATTTCAAAATACATTGTTATGTCAATAGTTTATTTAGATAATTTATTAAGCAATAGCTATTATGCTAATTTGTTCATAGCTGTTAGCTCCCAATTATACCTCGACAAACCACACCACCTTGGATTCAACCCCCACCTTTAAAAATAATCACTTAACCAATAATGTCTACATTTTTCTACGTCAAGCTAAAGATAAAAATGCCTAGACAAATGGTCACCGGTCTTCAATAGAAAACAACAAGCTGAGAGAGATCACAGATAACATTGCACCCTACCGATGTCCGCTTGAATTTATTCTCAATAAAAAAATATATATATATATATAACTTAGTCATAAGGATTTTTTGCAGGGTTCCGTAACGTAACGAAATATAACGTTATAAACTCAATTATTTCGTTCACCAAAATAAAGTTCTCAGAACATAACATAATATTAGGATATATTTGGTGAACGTTATACCGAATAACGTTTTAAATGTATTTGCTCCGAGAACGTTATAACGAAAAACGTTTTTAGTTTATTCGTTCCGAGAACGTTATAACGAAAAACGTTTTAAACTTATTTGCTCCGAGAACGTTATACTGAATAATGTTATCATTTGTTTCACCCCGGGAACGTTAAAACGAATTTTGCTAAGTTAGGTTAAGTTAGCAAAAATATTGATCTAAAACTGGTTACCGACCAGTCAAAATGTTTACTACATTATTCTTTATCACTATTTTTGCTAACCTAGCCTAACTTAGCAAAATTCGTTTTAACATTTCGGGGTAAAACAAATTATAACGTTATTCGGTATAATGTTCTCGGACCAAATAAATTTAAAACGTTATTCGGTATAACATTCTCGGGGTAAAAAAAGTTATAACGTTATTCCTAGTTAACGTTCATGAACATAATTTTGAACTGAACGAATAAATAACGGTTAACGGAACCTTGATTTTTTGTGATACCATTTATCAGGTAAATTGTAAGCCTATGACGAATACCTATTAGTATCCAAATTAACCTTTTATGTTTTAACATTATCAAAACGATCCTTAATAACAAACAATTTTATTAACGTTTCAATTTTTTTTTTTATTAAACAAGTTGTTTTTCACAGCGACTGGTGTAATGTAAACAAATGATGAATTCCTGTAGTTGTCACATACTTTAAAAATCATAAGAATCTGCATACATTACAAAAACAATTCTTATTGTTTCTTTTTTTTTGGTTACTCAGATAAATTATTGTTGTTTTTTTTTCAAAAACAAGTTATTAATCTTACCAAATTTGGTTTTGTGTTTTTTTTGGAATTTAACCTTTGAACTATTTTATTTCTAATCATTAATATTTTATGTATTCAACTGGTTTAGCTAAATGTCTTAATTGCACAAAAGTTAACGATACATTTTTTAAAAGTAAAAAACAATATTTCCTGCAATTTGTAGACAGTTGTATATTGTTAACTTTTTGTTAAAAACATATTGTTTTTTACAATGACTATTGCAATGCAAATAAATGACAAACACCTTTATGCATCGTATACTTTTAGCGCAGTTTAAATCTTCAAACATAAAAAAATTTAAAATTGTATAGCAAACGAATGTACACAATAAAACAAATAAAAACGTCAACAGAGTTTCACATGTATTGTAAAAAACAAGTTGCTATAATTTTTTTTTAAGAAGTAGCACGATGTTTGTTTTTTAGAACAGTAGGTTATCACCAACTTATTCGTATAATTAAGTCAAAACGTATCATTTTTTTTAAAAATTAAAATAAAATTGATAGAATGACACCTTATTTATAGATAAAGATTATATCCATAGCTCGATTTTTTGTTTTATTGCTTAACACTGGAACAGTTTCTGTATGAGCAATAAAACTGACTTAGCCACAGTGTATAGCTATCATCACTTACTTATAAAGGCTGGCTTTTTTGGGAGGCCGTATGGAACATCTTTCTTTTTTGCCGAGTTCTCTCATTCCCATCACCCACATAACTCCTATTTGAGTACACATGGTACTTATTTTTTACGCCTCATTCAGAAACTGATCAAGAGTTAGGCCATAAATATGAAAGAGCAGTGTTGCTCATCAAAGTATTTAGTATAAAATATCACCGTTTCGTACTAGCTGTGCTGTATCAATCAAAACGTTAGTAGGCGAAAAAGAGAGTTTTTTTTTGGTTTTAATTTTTTTTTTATATATCCCAATGACACTCCTGATTTGCTTTCTGAAATTCCTTTATCAGTTCCATCTTTTAATTCAAGGCATCCGTATACGTTTAAAATAAAATGCCACGCAACTGAAATTGGGTATGCAAGCCTCCTCAATTGCGCTTTATTTTAATATTTTTAAGAGATCTTTTAGTGCTTAAATTATAACAGCCGGCTCTTCTCTTATTACCTCAAAACATTTCATTGTGTCTAGTTGTCGGAGTACACATCTATCGGGCAACACGAATATAACTATGAATTTTATGGGCTACCGGATTTAAAAAACCCCGAAGACATATAGCATTTGTAAGAGGAGAAGTAACCATTCCGGTTGTATTTCAAATAATTCCAAATAACGATTTTATATTTTGAAACAATATTTATTATATTTTCTTAGTACATTATATTTTATAATTTCACAAACGATTTAAAAGTAAATATTTTATAATACTTGTGGAAACAAAAATAATAGCTCAACACATATCGTATTGAATCATTGTCTCGCACTTAAGAAATGTTCTACTGACACTTCCCTAGTCAAGCAAATTTATATCACCATATCTCCGAATAGGTCATCATTTACTTCATCTAAAACCATCAATGAGTAATATTATAGATATTAGGTGTTTTAATCTATGCTAGGTTCATGACCTAAGTAGTTTTTTTTTGCGAAAAAGTTAATCTCTATTCCAATAAAGATAAATAAAAAACTTTGACTAAAGTGAGTTTTATGATATAATAAATTTCAGGAATATTTACATATTTCGGACTACAATGGTACCATAGTAGTAACTCACCTCTTTTAAGGAGAGTATTTTGCACTGAATAACATGGAATCATTTATATATAAATATAAATATACATATATAAATTGTATAATAAATTATAGAATTGTTATGAAATATATATATACACATATCTATATATTTATATAAGATTATGTATAAAATATATATAATCTTTTATCATTTAAAAATCAATGTTATCATGGCAGAAATATCAATGGCGTTGAGAATGGGCTATATCAATTACTATGGAAATGTCTTTTCAATTGGACCCAAGACTGAAGACCTTACAATTTTATATCAAGGTGTAAATTATAAATATAAAGCATTAATTTAATAGGTAAGTTTATTAGAGTTTAATTGGTAATTTAATACAATACGATTTCAATTAGCTTTTTTAATTTAGGTGGAATGCTTTTTTACTGAAAATATTTCATCTTTCAAAAACCAATGTTATCATGTAAAATTGGTTTTGAGTGTGACATATCAATTGCTATGGGAATGGCTTTCCAGTTTGACCCAAGACCTTACAATTATATATCAAGGTGTAAATTATAAGTATAAAACATTTATTTCTAATGTGACATTTTTTCATGTGAATGTATAATATCAACACTAAGCAATTTGATTGAAAAGTGTGTTGTGTTGTGTTAACTTAAAATAATTATTAATGCATGTATTTGTGTACGTGGGTTGATAATACTCACATACCAGTTCATTTATTTTTAAAAATATCAGTAATTAATGTATTAATTTCATATTACTACATACAAGTAATCACTTCTTGATTATACCAATATTGTTTTTTATTTTATTTTAAGCCTATGTAAGTATATTATTTTTATTTGATTAAAATTATCTAAGGTAGTTCAAATGCCTCTCTCTCAACTATCAGTCCATTTCTTTATAGGTCTATGGTTCATGCCACCAATAGAGAAGATTGAAGCAGTCACTTACCGCCGTCTTGGTGGGAATTAGAACCTTATCACGCGAGAATAATATATGTTTATAACAATCACTTATATATATATATATATATAATATTGATATAATAATATATACAGATGTATATTATAAGCATTGATAACACAATAAAATCCCACCAGAATGGCGGACCGTCGGCTTCAATTCTTATCGCTAGTTAGCAACCTAGTTTATTATATAAATCTGTGTTAGATAAAAACCTTGTCACACAATATTGTTCTTATCATTTATTATTATCTTAACAAATACTGAAATCTGAATGTTTCCGGTTTACTGTTTACGACTTACGGTAACGAAATACTGTAAATATCAAAAATTTCTGTATTGAAAATATATAATATAGGTATTACAGGCATAAATATAAAATATTATTATTTCGAAAACTTTAAATACTCATATGATTACTGCAAACGTATAAATTTAGGAACATAACGTTATTACCAATTATATTTTTTATTTCAAATACGTAGTCAATACCATTAAATTATTATTATTTATTATGTCTATGGGATTAAGAGGTAAGCGTACTCTCTCATCTAAAATTGAGATTAATAAAGACGAAATCAGTGTGCAAGATACAAAGAAAAAAAGAAAACATCTTACAATTAAAGCAGATCCTGATAAAAATTCAAATTGTTCTGTATGGGAACCTTCGAACTGGCAGCAAGTAATTGACTATGTAAGAACAATGCGTCAAGATTTACCTGCTCCTGTGGATGACATGGGCTGCGATCAAGCAGCAGATCGTAATGAGGCCCCAGAAGTATTATTAATTATTATATTTATAGATTTATATAAATATTAAAGTTAATAAAAGTTTTGTATAGGTGATCCGATTCCATATATTGATTTCATTGATGTTATCGAGTCAAACAAGAGACGAAGTAAATTATGCAGCAATGCAACGTTTAAAGCAGCATGGCTTGACCGTTGACAAGATACTAGAGACGTCTGATGAGAATTTAGGAAAACTTATTTACCCTGTCGGGTTTTGGAAAGTAATAATATTTATATTTTATCATAATTAGCTTTATAGATGATATTATTAATAAAATAATAGGGAGGTTCTTGATGTTAATCATTTTCAGGTGGTAAAGTTAAAATAATTGTAGGTTTTATAAGTATTAAGAATTACGTTTGAAGAGAGTAAACAGAGATTGAGTTCGGGGAAAGCAAAAGTTTATCGATTTGACAAGTCGGAAAAGTAATTATTGGCTTGTGTAAAGTGCTGAAGGGGATAAATTGACGTGACAGTTTATATTTGTGATGTATTGTGTTAGGTATAAGATCAAAAAGTAAACATTGTGTTAATTATTATATTACAATTTTTTACAATAAATAATAATGGATATATTTTGTAATTTTTACCAGAGAAAAGTGGAATATATCAAACGTACAACTCGTATTCTAAAAGATAACTATAATAGTGACATACCCAATTCAGTTAAGGATTTATGTCAGTTGCCTGGCGTAGGACCCAAAATGGCTCATCTCTGCATGAGTTGTGCATGGAATGAAGTAACAGGAATTGGTAAATTAATCTAGATTTTATAAATTTAAAAAAACCTAAAAATGTGTTTTTATTTTTTACAGGTGTAGATACCCACGTGCATAGAATAAGTAATAGATTAGGATGGGTGAAAAAAACCACAAAAACTCCAGAGGACACGCGCAAAGAATTAGAAGCGTGGTTGCCCCGAGATCTTTGGCAAGAAGTAAACCATATGTTAGTGGGGTTCGGCCAAACTATATGTCGACCAATAGGACCACATTGTGTTACGTGTTTATGCAAAAATATATGTCCATCTTTTCAACAAAACAGTTCGCCAATAAAAAAAAAATAAGAATTAATATATAATATTTTTTATATGTACTTATATTGAAAAAAAAATAACTTATTATTCACTATTCATTTACACATTTATAAAAAATTGTTTTATATTTTTGTATTCTTATGTAACTGTAAATATTATACTTAATATTCCGCTAAGTTAGCTTTATTTGAGAAAACAATTTTTTTTTGAGTTATACATTTTTGTTATTGTATTAAACTTATTGTTCCCCCGTTTTATCAAGAAAATTTAATAATTATACAATAAATTATAAATTGTAATACTAAAATAATGTACCTACCCAAAATTATTTGATGATGATTTTATGCTACAAGAATTTTAGGTTCAACTCTGTTCTTTAGTTTATTGTTGTCATGTTCGTATCATTTTTAAAAAAATATTTTGTCTCTTATACATACATACAAGTTGTGAATATATTAATTAATATAATAATTACATAATATCTAAATCGTCCGATTTGGGAAATATAAATTCAGTTGTTAAGACCAGTCCACGGTTCACCTATATCTCCAATACTTGGTGCCAATAAACTTAAACATTATTTTATTAAGTTAGGTAAGACAAACACTGTACTTGACTTTTTAAGTCATTGATGAAATGATAATCTGATTATGATAGATTAAAAATGTGGAGCTGAAATCAACTTTTTTTTATGAAAAAAAACAATTAACACACGTTTTTCAATTTTCTAATATGATTCACGAACATTAATATACTATTGGGCCATCCTTCCATTTCATTCATTTTACTCAAAGTCTAATACTATTAATTTATAGTATTAGGTTCACTCCTACCCGACCATTAATAATAAAAATAAATATATTTATTATCATAGTTAAGCGGCAATTTTTCGAAAAAACGGGTGGATAGCGTCCTCTAAAAATAAATAAACTTGACTGTTATCTGTAATGTACCTATTGTCTAAACGATAGTCGAGAAAATTAAGTGATAACAAAAACTTTAAAGATATAATATTATGATAATATAGTGTAGATTGTAGAATGTAGAACGTTCACAGTACACAGTATTTATTATAATCTTTTTTTTTTTTCTATTATAAATATTGAAGTAAGTATTACAGTATTATGTTATTTGATGTTAATCTTTCTAAAATAAATTGACTAACCTAACACATTATACAAATATGATATAAAACGAAAAGGAACCATTTGTCGACATTTTCTAAAATTAAGTTAAGCTATTTTCTAAATCTTGATTAATTTTTTAACAACTTAAAACCTAGTACATGTTTGTAGCTAAAATAATTAATATACTTCGAAGTTATCATATAGAAATATTTCGCGAATGTTTTGGCGTTCTTAACAAAATCAACATTGGTGACAAAAGGTCTCTTTTTTGCATCGCTTAAATACAATAATCATAAATCATTAATACATATTGTTTATAAGCTACAAAAACTATTAGAACTACCTTGATATATTATTGTTTAAAAAAAATATAATTGGTTGGCTTTTTTGATATCTAGTTAGTGAGAAGTTTATGTTATAAAATATGATGTATTTTGCTTTATTTAATTATTTCTTTTTTATTTGGCTTTAATGCAAAGCTGATTGTTTTTACAATGTTGATTTTTAAATTTTTTTTGTTTAGACTCCGGATATCTTTTAAATCGATTCTTTATGTAGCTAGTCTATTTATCAATAGGTACTTTATTTGGCCATAAATTAAAGAAAGTTCATAATTTCCCCTTCAAAACTGAGGAAAACAAAAAATTTACATATTTTTAGATTTATATTATGGCTCTCTATTTATTTTTTTAAATTGTCCAATCAGCTTCAAATTTGTATCAAATATTCTTTAGCTATAGTACTGCCAATAATCGATGATAAACCAAAAATATATAAATCCTCTCCCCCAAAAGAGGTGGAATATTTTTATTAATTTCACTTTTTTAGGTGAAGTTTTAGGGCTCAAGTCCAACATTTTTCTTAACTATTGACTGTTTTTTTTGTTCATTAGCCATTACTATTGATTAAAAATCATGTTATTGTGAAAATATAAATATTGTTAGATAATTTAAGGATGTATTCAAAATGTTTAAAAATTAAAGTTAAATTACACATATTTTTAAATTGAAATGTACGTTATTCTTTTAACTATATTATATTATTTTGTGAAATTTTTTTTCAGCGTTTTCAAAATCTATCAAAAGCAAGCTATAGTATATTGTACCTGATAATAAGTATAATGCATACTTGTAAAGAATGTAGTAAAGAGTTTACCTTTCAAAGAAATTTATCTCGGCATTTGAAGAATAAACACAATATAAGTAGTGTGTCTAAACGAGCAGTAAATGGCAAAGAAGCTAAACACACTTGTCCAGTATGTCATTTGATGTTTGTTGAAAGAAGCTCGTTAAGACGGCATGAAAGGAAAAAACACGATAAAAATATCACCAAGTCACTGACAAAAGAAAAGTAAGTATAATTTAATTTCAGTATAGTCGTTTGGTTATATGTTATTTATTTATATTTTTGTTTTATTTTAAGGTCTGAAAAATTTGTTAATTTTGAACAAAGTAACTTGGAAGATTATCCAATATTAAAGGTAACTTATTTCCTTTCCTATTTTAATTTTAATGATTTGTTAACTTATAATGAAAGGCTGTTGCTTTTTTAATGTGTGTTTCTTGTTGGTAAGTAAAAATATCTTAATGTTATTATATTTTTTGTTTTAGAACTTAATTCCCAGTAAATTTGTATACAGAATTAATCAAGTTAAAAATATAGATAATACCAGTTTTCAATCAAAATTTGAAATAGCAGATTGTACAGAAGATAAGTTTTACGTGTGGTTATCAGAATTAGAGAAGAAGTCTGGAGTGACGTACAGAGTTAAATCATTTACGAAATCAATTAGTCTGCAAATTGTGTTTAATGTAATTGATTAAAATACACTATAGTTTTATAATGTCTAAATACATTATTTTTGTTTTTCAGAAAGTCTACAGGTGTGTTCATAATACATTCCCCAGCAAACATTGTATACCTCATCCAAAGCACACGGGATGCCAAGCGACATTGACAGTGAGAATAAAAAAATGCAACGAAATCTTGTAAATATTTTGTGTTTTTTTTATTACTTTTTTTAAGCTGTGGTGTGGTTGTAGGGTATACGCTGTGTGCACCCACCTCCTACTTTTCTGTGTAAAATTGTTTAATCGCCCTAAAGAGTACACAATTATTGTTATAGATTTACATATTAATACCCTAACAACTACACTGCTTATGCAACTGATTATTACTACAGATTCGTTTTAATTTTGATTTTTTTTAAATTTTAGGTCTGTGAAAAGTTCTATAACAGAAAACAATAATATGATATTACTTAAAGCGATTATAACTTTAAATCATTGTCATAATCATTCATTGGCACCACAAAATTCCAATAACATTATTTCACAAAGTCTAAAATTTTATAATAGAAGTTTAAATACAATACATTCTAAACAGGCTCTTTGCCAAAACCTGACTTTTGACAATAGTAAACTATTGGTGGAAGAAAACAACGATTCAATCGAAAACATTATCATAAATGACTATGAAAGTTGTGCTAACACATTACATGACAATAAACAGTCTGAAATCGATGAATCTGATGAATATGATGATTATATTTTAGTTGAAAACGTAGATTTTCAGAATTCAACTAACTATGAAAAAAATGAAATTAATCAGTTGCTATCCGATTATGATTCAATGTACAAAAATATGTCTAAACAATTTGAATCGAATCCAGAATATTTTAAAATGGCAATAAAATCATTTAATTCAGCGATGAAAAAAAATATCAAGTCTAAAGAAACTCTATTAGAAACATTGCACGTATTCGGGAAAAACTCAAATCATTTTACATAAGTTGTCCTGATAAACTTCACACTTTAATTCAAAAGTCTGAAATAATTGCTTGTCTCAAAACACAAAGTTATTCAATATGTATTAAATCAAGATGAACGGGAAAAAAACAAACCAAAATATACATACATGTATGTACTCATATTTGGAACATAAAGTAAACTTATTCTTTTATTAGTAATATACATATTAGAAGTGGGCCAGTAACACTTTTTACTGATATCCACCATTCTGCATTATGCTAAAAATATGTTGTATTAAAAAACCAAACATTTTTTGTAAAACCCATAAAAACTTATATTAAAATAAAAGTGACAGGTAGAAGGAGGAAGGGAGGGGTTAAGAACATCATCATGCTTTTTTATTTCTAGCTTAAGCTAAATCTCGAAACATTTTTCATTTTTATCATAAGTAGTATTTGTTTTAATAATCTTAATAGTCTTGGAAATATACGTACAAATTGTTGATAATATTTTAATTTTTAACATTCATCAAATAAAAAAAAAAACTTAATGATTACTTATTAATTGATTACTTTGTATTGATTTAATACAGCTGCTCAGAAAAACAATATTAAAACGAATCTTTGCCCCCCCCCCCCAAAAAAAATAGTTTTTCACTTGCATTACTTAAACTGTTTCTTTTGACTATAACTTATACAATATTATAAAATGTTATTGTTTGTATGTACATTTGGTTATTTCTTAATAAAAACTGTATAATTAACTAAAAACTAAGGGTTACACCACACGAAACAGCCACCAGTGTCTGAAAGAAAAGTGTGACTGCAGATATATTGGTATAAATTTGTGTCTGAACACTGTCAGCCACTGATAAAATATTGAATTTCAATTAGTTTGCTCAGTTGTAACGTTTCATAATTATTTTATAAAATTAACTAACTTAACCAAGCTGTTAAAAAAAAAACTGTTATTAACGTGTTACTAGTTTTAAAAAAAATCACTTGCCATCCTTGCCAGATAGCCTATATTTAATTATCGTCAATATCATTAATATTGTCATTGTGTTTTATTCAGTTCGAAATATACTTAACCAAACCAATGGCGTGTTGCTACTAGTTGTTTTTTGGAATATTGCTTGTGTCGGTTTTGACAATTTGTGATTTTTTTTTTTTAAATATTAAGTTTTATTTTTCCCGCTTTTTTGTGCGGATAGCCGTCGGCCGTTAGTAAAAAACGCGGCAAATACTCGTGTTGGCGGCATTGAACGAGCTCGACCAATGACGTCGTTCGTTATTCTGACCAATAACGTATTGCGTTACGCAAACCGCCGTCCAATGGCATCAGCCGTTACGTGGTTGCTTTGGCGATCAATGACGTCGAGTCGTACATGTTTTATGTGCAACAAACAAAAGTGACGCCATTACGAGTCCGTACGTTTAGCCGTAGACAAAAGTCGTTCGTTCTTTGAGTATATTTTGTGTTCGTCTGTTAATTCAGCTGTTCTCAACCCGTCAAACCCTTAATCTGTAAGTACTTATTATTGTTAATTTGATTTAAACTATAATTTCTATGTTTCTCGTCGTATTTGTCTTTGTGTGCCGTTCAAACTACCCATTCCCGACTTGAGGGCACTGCACCGAATTTCGTCCAATATTAATTAGGCGCCTACATCAGAAGAATAGCTTTCTCCGTTTTTGTGGAAACGTTAATTGCTGTTATTCGTTTACGTTTTAGTAATGACATAGTTTTTTTTTGTTATTGTTTATCACTGTGAAGATAAAAGTTTCTTAGCTCGATAAACTTTCAACGGCTTAATTTGGAATTTCTTTAGGTAATCATATCGGCCATTTATACCCCCTAGGGTTGTTGTATTATATTATTTCACCAATTTTTATAATCTATTGTCATCTTGACATAAATAAATAGTGGTAGAGTTACTACAAGATAGCTTTTAGTGGTAACTCTGAATTTCCTTATAATACTTAATTAATACATCATATTGTTGCTAAATATAATATCTAAATTTAATTAACATGAGAAGTGAAATTTCTTTTATCATATTTTATGATTTTTTATATAGCTAACTTGTAAATTAATTAACTTGGCTTAGTCTAATTTATTGTATTGATTTTTAGCAAACATGGCTCGTACAAAGCAAACAGCTCGTAAATCTACCGGAGGTAAAGCTCCCCGTAAACAATTGGCGACCAAAGCAGCACGTAAAAGTGCCCCGTCAACTGGAGGAGTTAAGAAACCTCATCGTTATCGCCCTGGTACTGTCGCTCTTCGTGAAATCCGTCGTTATCAGAAATCTACCGAGTTGCTGATCCGAAAATTACCTTTCCAACGTTTGGTGAGAGAAATCGCACAAGATTTCAAAACAGACTTGCGTTTCCAAAGTGCAGCTATTGGAGCTCTTCAGGTATGAATTATTTTTTTAAATGAAAATTTGTATTTCATGTTAAATTCTTAGTAATGAATGCTTAATTGACTAAAATTATATTATGTATTAAACAAAATTAAGTTGTCTTTTTCTTTTGTTAAGTGTAGTATTTTGTAATTTTTTATTCAACTGTAAAATTGTAATTTATTTGTTTAATTTTTACAGGAGGCTAGTGAAGCATACTTGGTTGGTTTGTTTGAAGACACCAACTTGTGCGCTATTCACGCCAAACGTGTCACCATTATGCCCAAAGATATCCAGTTGGCCAGGCGTATTCGTGGTGAACGGGCTTAATTCATCCAGTACATTCCTCTAAACTGTATTTTTTTTTTTTTTTTCGTTTTTTGACATTTTCCTGGGTTATACAATATTTTCCCTAAACAGTTATTACTATTTAATATGTGTGTGTGTGTATTGATAATTTGTAGTAAAGCTTTATAATTTTATTTTTTTTTTATAATTATAATAATTATATACCTAATTATAAAAAGAAGTGTTCATTTTAAAGATAAAGATTGTTTTGGAACGACATTAGAAATCAGCATTTTATGTACCTATATATTATTTTAAAGTGAATAGGTTTTAGTTTTAAGTTCAGCAATATAATTAATTTATATTTTAAAGCTTTATACTTAATAAACTATTTGACTTTAAACTAGGCTTATAATAAAACATATTTATTTAATTCAATAATCTTACAATCTTAACCTATTGTGACGAGTTACAGTATTGTATGACGAGTTCTTTTTTTTTCCATTATTCTTTTGTAGCATATATGGTAGCTTTGGTTTGATTGATTTGATTTGTGGCAATCCTGTTGAGTAATCATAGTTGTTATTATCGACATCTTCGTGGATATGACTCTCGTCTCCTCTATAAATGCCTTGGATTACTACATCGTCATACTCTGGATGGGACTTATGTTTTGGTGATTTTCTGTATCCATCTTCGTAGTCTTCTTCAATATGTGAAGCGTGCATTACTCTTGGTTTTTCTTTAGTCACAATATAAACAGGCACTTTTTTCACATGATGGTGGTGAACATGTTTAATATGTTCTGGAATAAATATTTTAATTCTAGAAAGAAAAAAAAATTTGTGTTGACTATAGTAGTTTAAAAAAACTGCTGATTAAATATTTGTTACTTAATGATTCAGTACTTAAATTGTAATATTTTGATTTTAGTTTTATATCGAGCAGAGTATTAATTATGTTTCAAATGATAGGTAACACTATAATCTCTTTCCAAACAATATGGACACTATATTATTATTTTGGTACTTATAAAACTATTATTTGTGATTTAAACTAATTAGTAATAGTTAAAAAGAAAAATTAGGTACATTTATTTTACTAGTTTATGTATGCAAATTCTTGTAAAAGTTAAAAAACGAAATTGTCATAAATATGACAATGTAGCTCATTGATATTATTTTAATAATTAATAAGCCTTTCAGCGACAGCACTTAGGCCGTTATAATATAGATGTCCTTACTCCCTTAGGAGTTTGTCTTCGACTTCGTAGAATTTATAAAACGAAATTACTATTTTGCTCTAAACCCTATTATAGTGTTATAAGCTAAGGGGAGAATTTGGTTTGCCAATTCCAAAAATTTTAATAAATTTAATTTGATCGTTATCATAGGAATTATAGGACTACCAAATATTTGTTAAGTTTAAAATCGGAATTCAATATATTTATGTAAATTTAGTTTAGGTACTAAAATAGAATAGGTCGGTTACCTATCGGTGACAATAAATTCTAATAATCTATATTATAAATCTTACCTTTTATTTCCACATAGAACAGGAATAATCATACACATCGTGTCTAAGGTAAAAATGAACAGCAATAACTAAAAAAAAAAAGCATACATTTGTATTTCATAGTATTTAACTATTAATAATATTTAAATAAAAATTATTGTTAAACGGTTCGTGTGCTATATTTTTATAAGTATTGGAAAATTGAAGAGTGGTGAAAACCAAAGTGGAATTTAGAAATATTATAACATATCACAGAAGAACCAAACGAAAATATTTTCAATAAAATAAAGGGTGTTGTTAATTAGATTTCTTCAATATATTTTTCATGAGTTTGTGTAAAATTATAAAACGAAAATAGAAAAGGTCTTACTAAAAATATATATATATTATAATGAAAAACTTGTTTTTGAAAAAAAAATCACTTGACCCTATTTTAGTTCTTAATGGAAGGGACATAATTGTATTTCATGTGTCTTAAGATAATTAAGGTACATAATAATTACTTAAAAATGTAGTATAAAATCATGTTTAACGTTTTACCTGTTTGATGATCATTTTTGTGTGACTGATCCTAGAACCTTAGGTCGTTGCCAAGACTACAGGAGAGAATGAAATGACAGTAGCAAATCCTATGATGGTCTAATATAAATAAGCATTCACAATGAAAAACCAATTAAAATGTATGTATACATGACAACTTATGAGTGTGACTAGCTATAATTGATGTCTTTCCTCGCTAAAATGGATATAATTTCTCCAGAACTAACTGTTTTTACGATTTTTAATGTGAAACGCAAATTATAGTGTATATAAGGTAGGTAGTTACGAGCCGGCGAGACATACTAATTAACTTTCTGCTTTGTGATTATTATTTTTTAAATGCGTATTACACATCTGAACAACGTTATACCGGTCAGATTTAAACGGTTTCAATGATTTTACGGAAGTGTTTATCCCATTGTCTTAATATTATACTTCCCAATACAGTGTTTAACTTGCGTACAATTGTTAAGAGTTTAATTGTGAAATAGGTATCAAGCATTTACTTTCATTGCAAAACGTCGTTTTCCGGTTGTTATTGTGTCGTTAAATTAATACTTTTTTTTTATGGCTTTTCGTTTTAGAGGTTGTCATTTTTAAATAAAAACAACATAATATCTGGCAAATGATATGATAAAAATTTGAATGTAGTATCAGCGATTAACAATCATTTAGAGGGTTACAAATGAAGGTATTCACAAGTTATTTAAAATGAGAAACGCACATCACCATTAAAAGACACTCCTCTTGTCCAAAAATTTAAAAATATTTGTTTAATGGTAAACCGTATTTCATTTTTTAGCTTCAACGCAAAGATGGAAAGGACTGAGGCTTTAAATTTTGCGTATATCTGTGCCCAATTTTTTCTCTGGCTTATTACTTAAATTGAATGTCCGGTGATATACAACAAGTAATTGTAGATTCCAAAGTAAATGTTATGTTGTTTATATTTTATAATAATACTCGTATAATTTCATATGTGTAGTATATGTATTACACAAGTATTAGGTATACCAAAAGTCTTATGTTTTTATAGTCCACATTACCATCAGTCATTTATACGGTCGCGTCGGTTACATTTTCCATGCATAGTATTTATTTCATCGGAACTGAGTGGTACGGCGTTAACTATAGGCAACTTCTTCAGCATAACTGTTTGTAAAATTGCCTTAAACCGCCTAGTTTATAAAGTTTTCCCAACAGTAACAACGTTGTAATTATTGTCAATAATCATAGTAAAACGGTTCATATATGCCTGAATACGGTCATGGTTTAAATTCGTAGTGGAACTCCGCACATTGTACCCGATTAGATATTTATGAACGTATATATTTAAATTTTAAGAAATGTAATTACTACATCAAGCCATTATATTTAAGCATTTTGATTCAAATAATAAGTGTTTCCAAACGTAGAAATATTAGTATGAATATAAATGGTATTCAAATGTGCACTACCGTGACTAATAATTATACAAGTGAACGTTCTTTGTCAATGTCAGTGTTAAAAAAAACTACAATAGGCAAAAGATCAAGCATGATAAATTATTGGCACAACTCTTAACGGTAAATGTCGAGAAGCAGGACTATTGAAATTTACAAATCTCGGTTGAAGTCATCAAAAATGTTGAATCTACCTACTACACTATGGTCGAAAAAATGTAATTCGTATTATCAAAATTATACACAACCAGTGGCGCCGAAGTCTCAAAAATGTGGTCGGCAATTTCAAAACTTAGTGGCCTCAGCATGAACGTTTATAAATATAATGCAAAATTTTTTGGAAAAGTGGTCGGGCTAAGGCCCCACCTCAGTATGGACTTAGGCGCCACTGTATACAACTATTGTCGGATTCTATAAACGTTTAATGAGCCAAAATACGTCTACAGTAATTCTTTAAACATCATTGAGATTGAGTTGCCCGTGTTACTGTTTGATCCATTTTAACTATTTTTTAAAAAAATATTGTTATTTTTTTAACAACTCGGTATATAAGAAGTAGATTGCCCATTTAAATCGAGCCATTAGACAATTTAAGCGAAGAATTTGGATTTATTTAACGAAATTGTATTCTTCTTTGGTACTGTAAAATTTGAAAATTTAACTATAGCACGTTATTCGTACCAAACCTTCAATTATTGCTTGTTTTAAAAAGAATTTGCTTTTTAAAAAATCACATTAACAAATAAAATATTAAACAAGTATTAAAATAAGACAAAGTTACAACATCAAATAATTAGCAAGAAAGAGATTTAACTTTAAAATAAAAAAATAAATACTATTGAACTATTTATTTACCTATTTGTATTTCTATTAACTATGGTAATTAGGAAATATGTTACAAGAGACAAATTGTTAATCATTTTTCTAGTTTACAAATTTTAAATAATAGTTCACTTAAACTTAAAAAATTAAATTGTTAAAATTTAACTTTTCAAAAAAAGTTCTTACATGTGTTTAGATATCTCTTTATAATATACTAGTTATACTATGAGTTGGAATTTGTATAATAAAAGTTTCTTTCTTTTAAAATATATATAATAAGAAAACTTATAAATTAACTATAAAATTAAATCAAAACACGTATTTATTTCATTGTATTTATTACACAGTATAATTATTACATTTTTAAATTAAAATTATTTAATTTTTTTTACAAAAAAAATATATTTTCGAGTTCATATATTACTTAACTTAAATTAGGTTTTAACGTATTCATTTCGATATGATAACCAGTTTTTAATAATACTTTTTTAGCTGTTATAGTAGTAAATATTTAAATGTCTAGACGGGAGTAATACGATGTTGAGACACGTGTTCGGAGAAAAATAACATTATGTTGCAATTCTTTTTCGCCTATGCTCTAGACTATAAGTAAAAACAATTTCTAAAATGCATTTTTCAAAACTGTTTTTTGATTATCATAGTGCTTAATGATAATTTATAATGAACTATGTAATTATTGTTTAATTTAATTTCAAAGCTGCTCATTAGAAAATATGGCCATTTAATAATTTTAAAAATAGTATTATATTTAATTTGTATAAGGATAAAAGTTAATGATTTACATACAACAATAGTTAGTTAAAAATAATTATTTTTAGAAAGTGGTCCATGCGCAATATTGAGATCATTCGTTTTATTTATTTTTCGAAAATTTTTTTTTATAATAAGAATTATTAATGTATTATTATTTATTTTATTTGTTTTTTAGCTCATTCCATGTGTTTAATATTATATATGTCTTTATATTTTAATACTGTAGATTATTTTTTTATTATGTATGCCATACAAGACTAAGCGCTACAATAATGTAAGTCAACTAGAATTATAAAATATTGTACTTATGATATTGTAGATCAATTAGTTATTGGTTTTAGCAGTCTAAGGAATACAGCAGTAGGTACACATGTGAACGTTTTGTTGGTCAATCGACCAGCGATTAATCCACATGTACACGGATAATGGATATTAAACAAAATCCGGCTATAATAGGTGTGTAACCTATTTATTAAACAGTTTTGCTTTGCGGTAATCTTAAAATAATAGCGCGCCGATATTAGTCGCACGAAGTCATGTACTCGAAGGTAATTTGGGCGCAATATGTGTGTACAATGTGTGTAATAATATTTTGATATTGTTTTGCGTTGAAAAAAACATACACACACATTAGAACTAGGGAGAAAAAAATACATATCTGGAGCACGTCAAATATATACGTGTTGTGCGATAGGTATATAGACAAAACGTAGGAATGCAACAAATGTAAATTCCTTGACAAGATCGAAACAAGCATGCAAATGTATATCTGTTCCGGAAGACCGGAGCTCAACAATATGTGTTTCCACACGCAATCAAAATTCTACTTCTTGAACCGTACTACTTGAATATTGTAAGTATAAAAATTGCATACATAAAGGTATTTTCTGGTGTCTGTACACAAGAGTGGTACTCGGTAACCATTCCGGGGTCGGTCAGCCACAGCTCAAAGGACTGAAATCTGGGCCCTTTTACACCCATGTACATATATTATGAATGGACATCCACATTCAATATAGGCACTCGATTGGGTAAGCGTATGCATCACGTACAAATGAACACGATGGAATCCTCTAGATAATATGACAAGAGCTGAACGAATTTTAATTATGTAAAATAACGTCTAAATCGGTTTCACAATATTGTGCATAGACGGCCGCAGACTTCTGTTGTTTGTAGCCACGTTGTAGAATATTTAAAAAACAAGTCAAATCTGGCTGTGACCCGTGAGTAAAATAAACGGATGAAAATATAAGTGAACAAATGTAAAACAATTTCAGTGATGACCTAGATTCGAACCAGAGATCCCTCATTCCCCAAACGCAGATTAAGTACTCTGACCAGCGTACTGTCTATACGGTCAGGTTCGTACAAATCCGGTTCGTATACCGAAATTTGTAGTATTTTAAACTTAAAACTATCATACTCGCAGCCAGTATTGTCTAAATTATATAAAATATAATTCTAATTGTATAAAATAGAATACTAAAGTACATTGCTTGCATGTAGAATTATGTAATAACAGCTGACACCCTCTTGGTACACCCCGCCGCGCCGACTCCTAATTAAACATGAAAAATTGTCGATTATTTTATTCAAAGCAACCATATTTTCATAAGCCCCCCGTCTATTTATCATTACTCCGCCGCTTGAACATAAACTAAACCCACAAAACTCATCATTAATCATTAACCGTGTGCGTGAAATGTATCGGCTCGCCGTTGAATTTTTAACCATCGTATCCCTGGCTTGTGCTGCACTTGGTCTAGATTTCATTAGTGCAGCCCTGAAAATTGGTACTATATTATATGCTGTACGCGTACTTGAAAGCAATCTCTGGCAAACCGGCGGCCGCCAGTGTAAAAAAAAAAAAAGGTACACCGATTCGGCACGGCTTCTTTGCGTAATTTTTCCACCCGAGGTGACTTCGGGGAAAACTGCCGCAGATGGCGCCCGCGGTCGACCACCCCCACCGCCTGGCCGATAATTGTTTAATAAAAGCGAAAACGCCGGGTTCGCAGAGTCACATGTATTTTTCCCGTTAAACCGCCATTTCCGACCGATACCGTTGTATAAGTCCTCGGTGATTTCGTTTCTTCTACCGGTGGTAGTTGCACATTTATCAGCAAAATTTAAATAGTCTACCCGACGCCACCGCCGCCGCCGCCATCGTAGTGCGCATAAAAAATGATGTTTTAAAAATACTCTCGACGTTTGTACGTGTCTTATGTATTGTCGGGTCGCCATAAGTTAGTGCCGAGTTGTACATACCGAGTGTGTTCAAGTATCATAATATATAAACCGAGAAACGCGTGTCGTCGTGTGTCGAAATAACAAAGCGAAATGGTAAATGTCTGCGAAAGCTCTTAAATAATTCACTAACTCCTCTGTATAATAATAGTATTACAATAACGCCCGTCCGGAACGATAACTATTTTAGAAGTATTAAGAGAAGATATTAAATGTTATAAGGTATCGCAAGAAAAACTATCTTGTTGAGTAGTAGACGCCTAAATTGTACTCAAAGGCGGCACCAGACATTTTTTTATTAGCGGTATTACGAAGCCAATCCGGACAAAGTTTTATCAATAGCGCATGCATCGTTTAAAAATGTAACAGCATCAAATTTAAATGAGATGCTTTCTTCACCATGTCCTAGCGCCTCCCCTGTATATTTTATTAGGATTCTATTAAGAAGAGCTGCTTTAAATTATACTAGGTACATTGGTTGTCTTGTTTGTTTTAAAATTATTAACACCACATCATTTTGTTTGCATAAGTCCAAAAAGGTCAAAATCCAGTACTAATCCTGTCATTTCAGTCTCCCCGGATGATAAATGCAATGTAATGTATGTCCTATTAAAGACCACCGAGGCAAGCCCTGGGATTTCTAGTGCCCCTTTGAGCTTACAGAATGAATTCTAACAGAGCTTGGTTGAACTCTTTATACTTAAGGCAGAGGTCCATAATAACTGTTTCTGGTGAGATTTTTTCTTATGGCGCTGTCAATAGTAGTTTTGTTTCTTTGTGGCGCATACCACCTTGTCGGTCGGTTTGTGGATTGATTATGTTGTCTATTAAACCGGAACGCCAAGGCAATAATGTATAAATCAATTTGGTAAATTATAATATAGGTGGGTCAATTTTATACGGTGGTCCGAGTCGCCTTGACTGGTGTTTTGTAATCGGCAAAATACAAAATGCGTTCGGATCGTTGGGTGTCACTTTTGGTCTACTTTGTTTTTGTAAGTCGACAAACATAACCTGGTACAGAAAGAAGGTCCATTGTGTTCTTCAGGTGTGCATGATATATTATGGTACTCGCGTTGACTTTGCTGGTTGTGAATGTTTACTGTGCACCGACGATTACCACCTTTGCTGTCTTCGGATTAGGCGCCCTTTTGTTGTAACATGGACGTTACCTCATAATTAACCTTACAACTTACGTCATTTGCGACATAACGTTTTTCGGTTTTTTTTCCCGAATCGTTTCGCCGTGGGAATGACGACTAGACCCGACAATAAATTGTTGCTTCTGTAGTGTATACATTGCCGGTTTCTTCTTGTATACTTTTCACATTGAGACCGTGACGAAAATGATACAAATAATAGATACCTATTACCTATAGCTATATACGAATGTAATTGAAGTTGTTTTTTTGTTAAATCCTTCGCGACGGCGAGCCTTTTCCGGAAGCGAATGATAGTGTTGTCGGAGGGCAATTATATTGGAACATTATTGGCCCCCAAGACCTTTTTTTGTTTATTTTCTCATATAGAGGCAGCATAAACATATACAATAAATTTAACTGACATTAAATACAAAAATATTCAATCCTCTAATTGGTTTTATCGATTATACAAATTAGTTATTATATGTTATAAACAATTGATTAGTTGACAGCAACTGTTGTAGTACCTACCTACCTACCAGAATAAAATCGATAAATATAATTTTCGTCTTGATTGAGAATACTCTCTAGGCTCTGGTCACTATTTCATTCTTTTCAATTATTTCATGTGTATAAAATCTTTTATACGTTCTTAATTATTGTTTTGAATATAATAATAGAATATTGTACGTTAAATTTGACTTAATTATAAAGACAAGGTTAGAATTAATAATTATTATCAAGTTAAAACCAATAAGTATTAATAAGTAATCAGTAAGTAACATCTATTAATTTTGTTTTACTTTTCTGTAAATACTTAGTTCCGTACCAAATTTTCTTAAAAAAATACACATCGAGTTTGATTGTTTTTTGTATTTTTTCATCGATGTAGATTTCTGTTTAAATGTTAATTGTTATACTACTGGAGAAACCGAGCCAACTCAAATGGATTGTCGCTAATCTTCCTTCTAAAATTTGATTACTTCGATGTCTAATTTCTCAATCTGTGACAATGTTGTATTACATAACAATGGCAATGGTTCATTGTGAGTATTCGTTTGAACGTTGATTCACCAGAATATGTTGGTGATTTTGGACAATAAAGGACCAATTCAGATGGCCGAATTGGTCCTCTTTCTTTTTAAAAGACCAAGATTCTGAATTAGTCTGTTTTTAGGAGGTTACATGTCATCTTTAGTATAAAATAAGAGGGATATGAATTATCATTTAAGTAGCAATTTGTTTAACGGAGATACAACAAAGTTGTTTCCATGTGTTCGATTGAGATCAAGTGGTGGACCTATATAATACTTATATTTTTAGATATAAAATTACACAAACAATTTTACCATCATAGAAAAGTTAACATCACAAGTAATATAATTTGATGGTACTTGGTCGATATGTCCTGTTTCTGGACCGGCTATGTCATTTACAAAATGCTTATATTAGTTGTGTGTGTTATAAAGGGTAAATTGTTTCACGGATTATTAATAAGCTGCATCTTGGCAGTAGTGTATGCGGAAGATGCTTTGAAGATGCTAAGACCGATCGAACACGAAGAAGATGCTGTCGCTGCCGAAGATCACGAGTAAGTAAATAAAATAAAATATTAGCATCACATTAGTGAAGTAAATTTTTAATAGTAGTATATTGAATTTTCTTACACACTAAAATATAAATCAGTCCTACTCAGCTTCATATCGAATCTAAAACAATAATATTCCATTAAATTAGATTAATATAAAAGTATTTGATGGCTTTTAACTATATCACTTTTACTAAACCGTCAATTTTTTTTCTAGATTGGTTTTTACTAAAAAAATTTTAATGTACTTTTAAAAAATATACTCCTAAAAATCGGCGCTTGAACAAATTATAAAAAAACTTTAGAAATGGGAATAAATTGGTTTTTGGTTTCTTTGATGTCGCAGTGGTTGTATTTTCTTAAAATTTAGGTCAATTAAAAATTTGTTGAGCTAGAACGATGAATGTTCTATTTTCAGACACCATCGGATCATCATCGTCGTGCCCAAGGAAGTGCCTCATCACGTTAACCACGTGCACACGTACAAGATAGCCGGCAAGGGAATACCGCTCATCCATTCGGGCAAAGTGGTTCACGACCACAAGCACAGCGGCAAGGTAGCACACGAGCACGGACACGCCGGCAAGTCGTTCCACAACCACAAGCACGGCGGCCACTACGGGCACAACCACAAGCACAACGGTTACTTGGGCCACAAGCACTTCGGCCATGTCGACCACAAGGGACACGCGCACCAACAAGAGTTTGCCGATCCACATGGGTTTTGGCAACACTTGACGGCTCCTAAGGGACAAAGACAACACGGCCAAATACAACAACAGGGACAGCTGCAGCAACAACGGCGACCCGTGGCCGACAAGGTACAATATGTGCCGTCGTCTCATCCACAGGGACTGGGATCGTTCATACCATCCGAAATCGTGCATGGCCGTCACGGCATCATGCAGCAATTCGTGGCAAGTGGCGACGGTAGACGTGCTCCGCAAAGCGTATACCACGTGCAGGTGGCCGACGAGGACGGACCGAACGTCGTCAAACACTTGGAACTCGATTTGGCTAACAACGTTGCCAAACTTCAGACTCCCGACCAAAGACAGCCGGTCTACCAGGTTAGTGTAGCACCGTTGTGCTTTCCCGTCATTTAGGTAATATTTGTTAAGCAAAAAAAAAATGTTAATTTTTTATTCCAGAAACCTTAATTCCTAATTAATTATTACAGTATGTCTTGTGATCATAATATAATACTATAAAGGGTTTCTGGAATAGACAGTTCGAGACGACTTCATCCAATATACAGGTCATCAACGCGTTTTCTTCTATCTAACTAATTTTTTATTCACAGACAACACAAACTGTACAAAACTGGTACTTACCATCGAATACGCACAAAATATTGATTAATTCGTTTACATTAATTATTTCTGTCGTACGCCAAACATATCAGACATTTGATAACTTCATTATTATTTTCACCGTTCAGACTATTTAAGTTCGTTTTATTTTTCTTTCAGCGTACGACAGATTTATCTACCGACCATATACCAAGACAATCGGCGTCCACGTATTGGACAGCGCAATTCCCATGACAGGAGCATCCATAAACTTATCACGGCAGATAGTCGATAAACAAATAACATGGGCTTCAATCTGGTCGCTGTAAAAATAATTAAATGAAAAAAAAAAACAATTATGGGTTTTCATTTTTACATGTAAATTGGTGATAGCGTATAAGGTGACATATGTTAAAGTGATAGTATTTTCTAGGCAAATGTTTAAACTTACATTTTTTAACCCACCTTGTATAATAGATTATTTTTTGAAAAATTTGTCATTGATCCATTAATATGTTGTATAATTTATGCGTGTTATAACTCATAAATGTTATGAAAAACACACCATTGTTAAAACATGCTCCGCATCGAAACTAAAACGTCTAATTATTATGGTTTAATCGCCATACAATTCCAACTGCAATAGTACAACGCTTTTAAACTTGGGTTAACAGACATATCGTATAATATGTGTACTATTTTAAAAGTAATTCATGTAGAAATGTTAATTCGAATATTACATGTTGAGTTCACGTTGACTAATCTAAGCTCAATTAAAATATGTGGCATATTGATTGATTTATTGTGTAAAAAAATACATAAATATTATATACATTTTCATCTGTTAAAATATATGCCTTAGTTCAATCGAATTAAAAAATATAAAATCATATATATACTATAATGCTATAGTATATATTTGCATCCACGTAACCTATGCACCTGCGTAACAAAAATTCGACCTTTTTTTTAAAACTTAATTTATTATCTATTTTGTTGAGTGTATTTACCTAAATGTAACCTAAAAAATTAAGCCAATGGTTATTACTGTAAAATTAACTCACAACTTAATTTATAAATGTACATTTAATTTATAATAGATTAAAAGGGTTATTACATATTATTCAGTATGAAATTACAATGGATTAGGTTAATCGGTAAGTAAATATGTCGTGATTAATCATAGAGATTACAGTATTTTTTCTAAGTGACAAGCTAATTTCACACATTATTTGGCTGTTTGGTAATAAACTCAATGGATAAAAATGTTTAATAAAAAGACACATAATATACTCCAAAACAGGTATTATGGAAAATACCAACCCTTTTATTGAGTAGTAAAGTATAGGCAATTGTAATACAGTAATGAGGATTCTTTATTGGTTATTTTTTTTTGTTTTACTATCACAGTAATTTCTATAGAAAAAAATTACAATTTTGTTCAAACAAAATAGTTTTTTGCGAGTCAAAAATATGTCATGTAAAATCACAAACTTTTCAATATAAATACTTGACGACAGATAAGTGCCTAAGTTTTAAAAATGTTTGATAACTCGATGCAATAAATTTTGATAATTTATTACAAAAATACTCAAAATCTAAGATTCAAAAATGTTTCGATCTATAAGTCAATTACTGCCAAAGCATATCCTTGCCCTGCTTAAGCATAGATAACATTCACCTTTATTTTTCTATAAAATGTGGTGGATTTTTAGCACTACAAGTATCACAGCCTTTACAGTATTCATTCGAGCAAACCATATTTTATGTTACATTTAAACCCAAACGATTGCCGATTAGTTACAAAAGAAACAAATCGATATATAGGCATATAGCCACGTTAAATTGATTTACTTACACTTGGAAATGCCGAGATTAAAAAAAACGAGTTAAATTTAAATTCAATGATAAATAATTGAATTAAAATAAAATTATTTTTAGCCCTAAAAATTGACTACCTACACTACTTTTTAGGTTTTTAATTTTAAGTTTTAAGCTTCAATCAATTTTGGTTAAGTTTTCTGATCAATATCCCAAAATTCAAATATTTGTGCATCCAAGTTTCTGAATCTAAGGACATCCGTGCATTTAGCAAAAACTTCCTTTAAAGCTAGGTTAGTTTAGGTTTACCGTTAGAAGAGCGTATTACTTTCATCTCGCCTTTGGTTTAATTAATTCTTTCGCTTTTGAAATGTAGTTACATAATTAATAATTGTTATTGTTTATAATATTATGCGTTTTGATTTAATAATATGTTAATCTGATTGTTTCTCGATGATGTTTTTAGTCTGCTTTTATATCATAATTGTTAGGTAAGGTTAAGTTGGAACTCGGTGGTTTAACCGTTTTGTGTTTGCAGACAGTGACGCAACAGTACAGCCAGGTGATCGGTGTTGGGCGCGCCGTACCATCAGCTGAGGGACAAGAGTTTGAGGGACAAACCGGTGAGGTGAACGGCGGCGGTGCCGATGACGGCGACGGTGATCTGTCGTTGGAGGACGGCAGCGGTTACCGTTTCGGCGAAGGGTACAGACTGGCATTGGAATCGGACAACAGCCACGATTATTCGGCGGCGCAGGAACAGGACGAGGATGAAGCAGACGAGTTCAAGGAACCGGTCAACTTCGGCGTAGAGAACGACGGCAACGTCGCTTTTAGCCAAGCGTACAGGGTACAATTCTGATGTGTTCGAAATGCCAAAAACGTAGTTGTATTGTATTTTATTTCTTTATACGGATAAATTATTGTTGTTGTTATTATTATTATTGTTATTTGTACGTTTTATTTGGTTGTTAATGCCTATAACAATATTATATTTTTGTACTCTACTATTGCAAACTGTATCGTATCGATTAAACACGCAGTTTTTGTAATTAAATACATATTTTTTTTTAATCCGTAACACACCGAAACATAGTTGTCTACGTTCTTTTAGGATAACAATATATATGTTCCAGGCAGCGTACAATAATAATGTTGTCAAACGCATTAAAAAAAAAACAATAACTCGGTGTAACCACAAACCATTTCCACGATGATACTTATGTTTCGAAAGAAAAATTGTTTTATAGGCTTTGATTATAATATTATTTGCTACGCGATTAATTTTATACGAATGTCGAATAGACCGCATAAAGATTTAAAGGTGGGTTAACTGTAGTTGTCTGCAAAATAGATACGGAAAATTATTCTGACGTCTAACGTTATTATTTTTAGTTTTCACTTCAGTTAGTATATAATAAACCCGTTGGTAAATTAACGAAGCATTTTTACACGAATTGTAATATGTAATCAAACGGAATTGTATGCAAATATAAACGTCACAATTTTGTTACTAAAAAAGCATAAAAATACTCTGTTTCGACTATATATATATATATATATATACATATAATACATATATACTGATGTATTTCTACTTTCTTCATGTAATAGACCTAAATGGAATTTCATGAATAAATGATTTACAACGTACGTAAAGAAAACAACATTATTTCTCATTAAAAAAAAATCCTAGAGATAATATTAAAAAAAAAAATCATTATTATTAATATTATTAAAAAAAAAGAGCCATTTGACACGGATATGGTCAGTATATTGCACCGTTTGGGAGCCGTAAGACTATCTGTAATCATTATCAAACCAAACCCGGATATCGACGGTGAATCACACAATAATAGTAGGTATATAATATATAATATAATAAAGTTATCCGAACTCTGATCATGATTTACGATTTGAGATCAAAAGAAAGAAAACATAATAATTAAAAGGAATTTTCCACTTCTTCTGAGGCGTCACGCATAATTAGAAATTATCGAACACATTATTCTTCAACCGCCCACCTTAACCTGGAAAGTATGCCGAACTTACATATGCCGTCAAGTAGTATACCCGCGCTATCCATACACTTTTTAGGTAAGTGCTTTATCTAGAGTAATGTATATTTATATATGTATTTCGATCCATGTAATTATAGAAATTCAACACTCCTCTGTAGAAATAATAATATATTAGGCTGACTCCAGAAGGTATAATGTCATAATAGCGCTTATATTATCATGATTTAATGATAATTATATCTTAAGTCTCAACACATCTTATACATTCTATTAAGTACTGTTTTTTTTTATAATTTCCTGAATCTGTTTGATGAAGATGCACATTATACATCATACATATCTATATGAGTTTGAGTGTAAGGCTTAAAAACTCGTCAGACCCGCTCCACGGGGGAGGGCAATAATTATTTTTAAATACATTTTTTTTTTATTGGAAAATATCCACAACATATATAATACTATAAAGTAACACAAAAGTAAACAAATCTTAACTGAACATATGGGTTATGACGATTAATTTGTCTTATTATTACACTACAAAATTCTCTAGATTAAATTAGATTAATTGTAAATTGAATCAGCAGTTATTAAAAATAAATTGAAGTAAGAATTTAAATGATTTGGAAAAGGCGCTAAGAATAAAATATTTACAGTAAATAAGTTAAGCAACTGTTAAAATTTCTAAAATCAAAACTAAAAATAATAATATTGAGTAGTAATAAATTGGCTTTTGAATGTCTGAATTTCATAAGGGGATTTTATGTTACATTTTTGTTGAGAAAGTTGTGATAGGATACAAAAATTAGATAATGTAAATTGTAATTAATGTTTTTTTACATAGGTAGCCAATTTGTTTTAATTAGGCAAATAATTTGAAAAACAACAAAACAAATTTAATGAACAAACAATTATGCGTTTATTAAGGTTGTACGTTTTTCTGACTACTATATTACAATTATAGTAAAATAAAGTTCATAATTTTATAATAACCTATTTCTTCTAAATTCTAGATACTAGTGTTTTTTTTCATAAATTAAAATGGTAAGCCAAATTAAATTCTCAATTTAACTTATTGCTGATTTACTGGCCATTGATTATGTGAACTTATCTATAACGTATCATTATATATCTACTAAGTGTTACTACTAACTGGTTCATATAAGCTATATAATTAGAAGGTAATTTTGTTATGGTTTACGAGAGGTCGAGTGCACTAGAGTAATATGCGCAGATAAAGCATAATAACTGTAAAGTAATTATTCAAAACTAGTTATTGAATATCGACCAGTCAACATTTTTAGCAAATTATTCTTAATTTGCTTTTTGTTTTGTCTTTGTCATTAATGTATCACCCTGTATATACACGCTCACATACAAATGTATAACTATTTATTTTTAAATATTTAAAAATAACAATACGAAATGACTATTGACTACCTTATTCAATTTAAAACACTTGTTGACCGACACCTATTAATGTACTAATGAAATATATTAATGTATTAATGCCTATAATAATGTAAAAAAATAATAAAACTTATGTGCAATTATTTATTAAAAAATTGACGTTTACACGCCATTCACATTTGTTGGAAAAGAGAAATTGTTTTTTTTTTATTCAATTGATTTTCCAGTTAAAAAAAAAGTAGATTTGAGTCATTTTCTATCGGTACGATTAATAATTATTTTACGAGTCACGTATTTTATGGAACACTGTAATAATAATTTAGTAAAATGCATACTTATGAAATACATTTGTTGGACCGAATCGTTATGAAACATTTTACACTCTAAGCGTTAAGGTACAAACCGTACTGTCCGTATGTGCACGGTAAATATATATATATATATGTGTGTATGTATACACGCATACAATATTATTATATACAATATAATAATAATACATTTTGTATACATACACTATATACAATAATATACTTATTATAGATAAATCACTTTTTATTTAACTGTTTTTTTTTAACTTATAAATGATAGTTTTTCTTTTATACGACATTAGTTATAATGCTATTACTCGCATGATAATATTTTATTACAGTTATTTAATCCAGCATTACAATGTTATCATTTTAGCTTTGTAAGCATAATCGTAGTGATTAGACGTAATAAACGTATCATACAATTTAAAGACAAATAAATTTAAATTTATACATTTTCATTCAATCCTGTAACTTAATTTTATTAGAGCTCCGTGGCTTATTGTGGATACCTATTACTGTGGGGAAAAAGTAATTGTACAAGATACTAATAAAAAAAATATGTATAATTAATTTAAATATAATTTAACAAATTCACAATACAATATAGTAAGTACACAGGTATATATATATAATATTCTTATGTTTATATTATAACGAATATACGTTATATCGTACATAACAATTATTAGAAAATAATGCACTGTTATAGTTTTGAATAATTATAATAACTTACATTAATTCTAATAATATAAATTATTATAACATAAATGCTATTTTTGTAATAATACTTTGGTTTTAACAATATAAATCACATATCTTGCATACTTAAATTTATCAAAATGACAAGTTTATTTGTTAGAGTATTATTATTCTATAAAAAAAAATTAAGTTAACATGCGTTGTATCGTGAGAAAGATAAAAGACCTTTTTGGATAACGCTATTATACACGGTATTCTTATGTTAATGTTGTATATTATATGGATATCAGTGACGTCAGAAATGGGAAACTAAAATAATTTATAAAATATATATATAACATAACATACTTTGTACTTAAATAATACATAAATATTTACACGAAGGTAAAAGGACCCTAAAAGAATAAATATAATATGAAGCTGTCATAGTATATTATAATAATTCAGCTGTTTGTAGTCCGCAGTACAGTAGATTTATAGAACTGTATATATACTTATTTTGATCATATTAATAACAACATAATTATTATTTAAACAGAATAAACATAAAAATATACATTATTGCTTGAAAGATAAGATGAAAAATTGATGGAATGATATAGCAGTGAACAAGAAAATTGGGTTGGTTCCCAACATCTATAGCACAAGAGGGAAATTAACTGAAATATGGAAAAATCATCGATTGAACAATTTAAAATTTTTGAAACTAAGTACAAATTCTATAGTTTTGTTGATCGAAGAACTTGATTTATGATGTCGTAATATTTTTAATACTCTTATACTTACATTTTTTAAGCTCTGTGTTGACAATTAAAATTTAACTGGTATGAGTCGCATAATCGAGAAAATACTACTAAAGATTTTATCCTGTCACTCCAGTTTCGATTAATTAATCTTGAAATTAATAGCATTTATAAAAGTATAGGCGTGGGAGAGAATGCAACATTATATTTTAACCTGTTCCTATTTCTCGATCACACTTTCTTGTCGTCCGAACATATGATTGCTAATAACTTCAATAGTGTAGTTATTCAAAACTGGTTATAGACCTGTCAGTATTTTTAGCAGATTCACGAATTAGGTGACGTTTAAATTTATACGATTCCATTTCATCAAACTAGTGTAGATACATTTGTCTTAAACACTCCTATCCAGTATTCAGACACGAAAAATACAAAATGTTAATTAATAAAATTAAAAATAAGTATTTTACATAAAATTAATCTGCCTATTAATACATTCTCGGGTAATTAATTAAATCACGTTTACACATTGTCCTATACTTTTATCTTTGGAAATCACTTTTTCTCACGTGTTAATCACAATTTGTGTGTTTTATAGCGAATTAATAATATGGCATTAACCAAGTTTTAAGTATTATAACGATTTCATATGGCATCGAAAATAGTCTTTAAGTAGAGCAGTATCTACTATCCCAGCTCTAGATATTTGGAAATCTCGATTTGGTTTAATCTGGAAGAACTGGACACGCTTTTTATGTAAACCAAACTCAATTGACTAATTAGTGCACATCAAGAAGGTTTCGGCGATCGGGCTCGCCTTATTGGTAAGCCCATCGGCCTACGGGCACATCGTATAGTGCCTCGAGGGGCGTCACGTACCGCAGGTACTGTTGGTCGGTCTTGTGTTGATGGTAACCTTGTAGCGCGTCGGACAACACGTAACGGTGGCCGCCGGAGCTGAGCACGGTTTCGGCCGGCTTGGCACCCATATAAGCCGAGATTTCGGCCAACGATAACCGTTCGTCCGATCCTTCAGCGTCTGTGTCCTCGGCCTTGTTTCTCTGCGTAGTCGACTGCGAGTTTTTGGCAACGCTGTCTGTTGTCCGCTTTTCTTTGTCGGACGGCCGCTTATATTTAGAGCTAAACACGTGTTTGTCGAAACCGTCCGCGTACAGGTCTTGATGGTGGCTGGCGAAATGCTCGTCCATAGCTTCGTGTACGAGTTGCTTGAGTTTTTCCATGGCGTCGACGGAAGGCCGTACCGTCGTAGTGGTAGTGGGCTGCTTGGTGATTCGCAACGGCAAGTGAATGACGGCGGCGGCCGGCATGGACGCTTGTTCTTCGTACATGGGTCGCTTGCGTACAACCGTCGTCGGTAATTGCGAACCACCGGTGGCGTACACGATCGAAGCGGGCATTTCTTCGATGAACTCTTTATCACCGTAATCGAACGACGGTGATAACATCGGTTCGATGCTGTCGTCGTAATCGCTGGCGTCGATGTAATTGTTGTGTTGCTGTCTCATAAACGGCGGCAGACGCCTGTAACGGCCCATCGACTGATGCGATCCGGGGGGTCCGTAAGTAGGCCTGCGCCTTTGTCTCGGTCCCGGCCGCCTTCTCGGCTTCGAGCGGCTGCCCGGTCTCTTTTTCCATTTAGGCGGGCCTTTGTACGCCCTCCGTTGTGAACTCTGCGAGTATGAAGGGAACACGAACTGAGAGGCGTACAGCTGACGTGCCGATCTGCTACCGGTATCAGCCGCCTCCGTTGTGGATGACGCGTTACTCACGGAATGGTTTTCAGACGCCGCCATCTGCAGATCGTCGTGTTCTACCAACGTTGAGACGGTCACTTCAGTACTTCCGTTTACTGGCTTTGCGTCCATCCTAAATAAAATCAACAGTTTCTTAAGTCTTCATTTTAAACAAATTATCCGTAGAAATACTTTACTAATACAATATTATAGCATATAATAGTAGAGTACTATTGATTAATCTAACATTTTCGCTACTCAATTTAAAATACATTATTCACCGTAATATCTTACTACCCAATCTGTTTTACTTTAAAAATATCATTCGATGAATAAATAAATATATTAAATTTGGTAGTTACTAGTTAGGTATAACTGAAAATAATGGTATTGCACCAAACTTCTGTGTTTCACTCTTCGAAAATTACCCAAACGGTTTCCTTCGTCTACTCTGCTACTTAATATTTTTACCTGATTTTTCTGAGTCAGCTCCTAACCGTCAGTTCAATACTCCATCCAAGGCGATTACATAATTTATATTCTCAACGTACCTACTTGTATGCCATTCATAAATGCGCTCATCTCTTCCAGTTGCACTTTATACAGTCTACCGCAACTATTTATTTTTAGTTTTTTCTACTGTCCGCATTTTCTTCTCATTTTTGTTGTTAGTGAATGGCTAACACGTCCAGTCGAGTTATTAGTATAATATAATATATTAAACATAAAAATAGAAAGAGGAATAAGCGTTGACTCTCTTATAGGAAACCAGATACAGTATATATTATTTGTAATAATATTAATATTTAGATTTGTCATATGCTATAATAAAAGTATCTAGAAAATGAAATTATTATTTTAAAACCCGTACCTACGTATATAAATCATAATCACGTTGTTTTTATGAAAAAAAATTATTACGGTCCGGTTAGGTGTGTAATAAAGGGAAAAAAAGTAAAGTTAATTTCTAATTTGTATAACTTGTTCACTTGTGTGCATATTTTCTTACAACAATATCATATACATACGTATAGATATAAACGCTTAACCCCGTCGATATAGTGTACTTGTAATGAAAAATGGAACGCGACGAATAGAATTCAAATGTAGGCACGATGAAAGTAATTCTATTTCCTTCTCTCTTTTTTTCCCTTACTCTGTAAATTAGCATAAGCAAAATCATCAGAAGCAAACTAACGGAAGCTGGTCGACGTGAAAAATCAATCATTCCGGATAATAAAAACGTTGATGACGTGGTTTTGATTTGCATATCATGTACGTGTATATAGCGATTTTTAATGTGTAAACGGTTATGTTCATTTATGCGATTAAATCGAATGGGGTAAACTGGCTTGCACGTCGATTCCAGAAAGAATAATTGCTTGGCTTTTACATACATGCATTCCGATTTTTATAATAATTCAAGCCGTAAGTGATTTCTGTACTGTGTTGTCTTACGTTTCGTTTCGAGCAACAACACAAGTATAAGATAGGACACCGTGGCCGTAAGTGCACGAGACAAACTGGTTCCAGTGGTTTTAAATCGATGGATTTACCGAAATAAGTCAGACGAAACAGTCGGGTTAAGGATGTTTCTTTTTCTTTATTTATTCATATGTATATGCTATATAATAATATATATATACCTTCTACTATATTATTATCATATCGTCTATATGGTGTTCGAGTATAGTAACGCGCAACGGCATTTCAATGGAAACGATAGAAACTGCTGTACGGAATACCGCATGTGGCATGTGCTGAAGATATTTACAATATTTATGTATTATATCCTGTTTTATTCGCTGAATTATTAATAATTGCATACAGCACACTGTATAGTAGGTATATAATATATAATATGTCTGGGATCGTGCAACAAGCAAACGCCCCGGGTCTTGTGTAGATTTTTTAATATGCCTATTTCGTCGACCCATCACAAGTGTCCGAGCGTTTCTATAAACCACTATTGATTTCTGACTACAAAGTAATCAACTCGTTTTAAACCATATTATTATGTCAGCTATATTTTCGCTTAGGAGTCAATTGTTTTATTGTTAAACACATAATAAAATAACCTAGGGTAAAAGTGTTTATTGTGGATTTATTTTATGATAATTTACAGAATATTACTATCAGGCGCCACTCCATCAACATTTAATGTTAAAAAATTATTTCCATTAACGTTAATCACTAATTTATTGTTTCCAAAAATTTGTCTTTTTAGATTATGCAATATTGGTACTTTATTTCAGCTTAATATGCTTTTATGTTTTGATTTTAACAATGAAAAACGTACACTGTTTCTGAAACAATATTATTATTGTAACTTTTTTGTTGCGCGATTTTCTCAACATTTTTCTATCACTTTGTTTGTCCCTACACTATTTGATACTTAAATTTTAGCTTAGATGCGGAGAAGGTATTTTGATATACCATTATACAGGTTCACATACAATTCCTGTAGGTTTTCAGTAGTATACGGTGTATGATTGTATGTCCCAAATGAGCTTCCCATCTTTAATTATATATATATATATATATATATTTCAAATTTTAACCTGACCACGTCTACTATATATTTAAAACTAGTACTTTGAAACGCATGGTTTTGGAAATTAAATAATAATAATACATCATACAAAAATGTGTAGACTTACGTGCAGTGAGCTATGGCCAGAAATGACATAGACATCAACAATAACAATAACACCTGAAAAAATATGAATTAATTTAATATTTGTTTGCAGCTTAACAGTGATCACAATTTTGGATCAAATCATTCGTCAATTTATAATTTATTTAAATTAAAAACTGTATCATCGGTTATCCGAAGTTTGTTTGTATACCTCTAATGGTTTGTATAAGTATTATGCTAGTATACAAACAAATATAATAATGTATACGTTAACCAGCTTAACAGACTCTCTACAAAAATGTAATCTGACAAGCCAGACGTACGTCCGACACCTTTTGTAATTTATTTGTTTGCCGACAATAGAATTAATGTATTCCAAAATTTAAAATCTGGCAGTGGATGTCGGTTTTACATGCGTATATATAAGGCAGGTACTTATATCTATTTTTAGTACCATATTTAAACAATTTTATGTTCTTACATTTATAAAAATTCAAAAAGCTTTTCTATTTCCATATTATGTACACATTTTCTTAGCAATATTTTACAGTACTCTTATTGTTTAACTGATGGATGATTTCGTTCATAATGTAATGTCATCTGTTAACACTTTATTATGATTGAGAATATTTTACTACCCATATAAAATAAAATAATAAGTAATAACTGTCAAAAATAAGGCAAGGAGGGAATCACGTTTCATTAATTAATTTTATAGCTAGCTATAAAACTAGATTTATAGTCTACAGGTTACTAAGTAGACGCGAACGTCTAAGAGTATAAATAAGATAACTGAATAACGCTACTAAGCATACAATATGTGTTTTATAAAACAATGTTTTACCTTACTTATATTGCTTATAATACATTGGTAAACTTCATATTAATTTAGATAAATAAAGGTATTATATTTTTGTAAAAAATAAAAAATATAATATTATGATTTATCCAAATAATAACAATCTTTAATAATTATTGCATAAATTTACATTTTAGTTCAAAATGTAAATTTAAATAAAACAAATTAAACTATATGCATTATATTCATACTATATTCAACATTAGACCAGAATATCATTTACTACAAAAAAAAGGTAAATGTATCAAGTCCAATCACCTAATTAAGTACACTGTAGGTACGTTAATTATATTAGAAAAACAAATTAATTTAGTAAAAAGTTATAACCTTGTATGACATTTAATAAATTAAACATTATAACAATTTTACTTACTTACTGTATATATTTATTAAAAATATGTGTACAGTTATAGGATTTTATGTTTATAGGATTTTCAGTCCGAATAATTGACATATATTCAGTTTTATATCATTTCTATACATTTTTAAAAATAAAATAGATAATACGGTTTAGAAGCCCAAAGAAATTGATAGTTAACTATTTACCACACGATTAATATAAATTAAAGCGTCGTTATTGGTTGGGAATGTTCTAAAAATCATAATACTATTAAATTCTTAGCATAAAAGTTGTTTGAATATATTACATTGTATCGGTTAGGTTAGGTTAAGTTAAGACTTAAGTAGTTTATATTATCAAATAAGTGTTATACTTTATACTTAGTATAATATAAGCCAAATAAAAGAAATATGTTACGGTGATGTGAGCTAGCAACCTACATAATATTTTATTTATTTATTTGTTGTATTGTATTTCTGTTTTTCGAGCTGGAAATATATATTAAAACAATAAATATAGTGATGTTTATACGGTTAAGTTTTTTGTTTTCGATTCGAAACAGAAAATATCTTACTTATTATGAACTCCCTTAAAACAATAAGTTTGTGAAATTGCTACACTTTTACAGCTTACCTATTTATTGAGTTTTTTCACTTTTCAGAACTATTTAATGGTTTTCAAAAAAACCCTGGAAATTATTTTTTTCTTATTATTGATGTATTTTATTTATATAAGTGGTACGAACATTTATACACTAAATTACATCATTTAAACTGTTATAATTATTTTATTCGAGAGTGAAAAATAATAGCGGAAATATTAGTTTTTGTCCCGAAGTGTCTAACAATATATATATATTTTTTTTTTATTAAATAAAGTCCGCGACAGCTGTGGCCATTGGACTGACATTATTTTACATTATTAAATAACAATCTTTTCTAACAATATCATTTTCTCTCAAAATATCATTATTATTAAACGGGTTTTTGAAGTTCGGTTGACAACATTATAAGAATTATACTTTTTTGATGTTTCGATTATAATTTATGTAAAAATTTTAAATTTCAAATATTTATAAAAAAAAATATTCAAATATTTTAATCACAACAGCGGAATGGCTGGCAAGACATTTCTAGGAAATATTTTTAAACTATTGTTTAATTAAATTACTACCGTATGGGATTATATAGTGTTAAAGTGTTTTTATCTGTAGAACTTGCATAACTTAAATAACTTGGAAATCGACATTTTTAATTTACGTTCGTCTAGTTCTGGGGTATTTTGTAAACAAACTATACTCAAAAGGAAAATTCGATATAATGTATCTTAGAATATCGGGTTCAACCAAACGATTCATAAACGAAGCTTTGAGTTGTTTACTGGCTATCGTCATAGTTATACAATAGAAAATACACAGAGAGTACTCACTTTTTTGTTATCCATCGTTTTTGGCATTCGATAAAAATCCACAGCCAGATACGTGCTCGAAACTCCACGATCCGGATGTTTTATTTTTCCAATATATAAAATACTAACAACACCGATTATGAAATCCGAAACACCACCGCAAAATATCGAAAGTTCGTTAATTTTGTTTTTAATACCTACAATAATAGTACTGCTAAAAACGATCACTGTAGTTTGTGTTATTTTTATTAGGTGTTTATATTATTTGTGTGCTACCCGAAATCGAACGAGAATCGCATCGTAGTTTACCATGTGACTGCACAGCATTGGCATTGAATCTAAGATCCCATGACCTCTAATTACTATCTTTTATAAGCTTGGCGGTTCCACGGCCGATGGAATCGTTCGCATTCGAGTGGGAGACAGCAGGCTTTCCACAAATCGCGAATATCATGTGTCTAACGTGCATCCACCACTGGCCTAAGTTTCTCTCACACTTCACACGGCCCCAAGTGCAAAATGCGCGCGCATACGTCTTGTTCGACGTTTGTGTTGCGTTTATATTCCTTAAGTAGGCGTGTACCTAAGATAATAATACAACATTATAGTGGTTTACGTAAACATTGTAGACACACCAGTTTCCAATTAGTAGGTATATATAATATAATACCGATCAGTCGGTTATTATGAAACGATGGATCTTTGCGATAGTTGTGGAATAATGAATATTCAACGGGTAGTACATTAGGATCTACACTAGTTTGGTAAACTACATTTTAAAAGCCCATTGACGCTAAAAAGTCGACTTGATTTAAATCGTTCGGTAATGGATCAATCTAAATAATGTAATATAATGATTAATGACCAGTTAAACATAACATTATGAGTGAATTAATGATTATATTAAACAACGGATATGACATTCCCTTTCATATGATATCGATTTCAGTATAGGTGTATTTTTGTTCTAAAACTATCACGGGCCGAATAAAATACAATATGCATAATTATGTTTTGGTAACCTAACCTATCTGTAAATTATGTTACAACTGTTTTTAATTAACTAGTTTAAGTCACCCTAACCTTATGTCTATGTTTTTTAAAAACAATGCAATACTAAATATTCTAGTGTACTGACAAAAGGGAAAAAGTCAAAATTAAATTGTATAAGTTTTCGTTTGGCTAAATAAGTATATAATTCAATAGACTTTGAGTTTCACAAAATTGAATCGCCATTAAAGCAAAAATCATACATAACAATGTATGCCCTTTATTTTAGAAATCATATTAAAATCGAGATAATGGCTATCCAAAAAATCCTGATTTACCCGAACACCCCGAAATTTCATTCTAAGACTTGAGTTATTCTAGGTCAATGAATTTACCGTGGGTAGAAAAAATTGATTTTTTATGTAAAAAAAACCGGTGATACGACAAATTGATTCTCTCTCGGTCAACCCGAAAACATTTTTGTCGTCAGTATGGCATTGTGCGCGTATTACATTTTATATAATGAGCTGTCGTTGGGTTCAGAGAAATTTCGCATTTTCAAACTTGTTTAATTGACATCGCTTAATAATTACTACATTAACATAACACGTGGACATCGCAGGTCCGAGCGGTTGTTTTACTTTTAACGTCAACGTTAAGAGAGCAGAACTGCTGTTCAAACTGGTTAATTCGAAAGTGTACAAAGTCTCGTCATTGGATAAAATGAATTGTTTGAAAAATAACGGCCGTAGGGATATTATTATTTTAATTTTCCGAGGCCACCGAGCTTAGGTATAGGGTTATCCCCGGTCAAAATAATGTATATGATAATAATAATTTTCATTGCAGCACTAAATTAATTTAAACAATTTTGAATTATATTGTAAATAACATGCATGATGCACGACAAGCCTTCATAATCATATGAGTATATGACGTAAGTATAAAGCCATAAGAACAAACTTGAAAATACATAATTTTTATTGAGAACCTCGGATGCATTTTAATTTGTAATATAATTTATTTGCTTCTACATTGGGAGGGATTTAAAAAACAACATTATACTCGTGGTAGCCGAGAAGGGTTCCTCCGCATGTTGCTCTAATAGAGGTTATTTGAATGGTTTGAGATGATTTAAACGTGTTATGCTTGGGTTGAAAATTAGAATGATCAATAAGACAACTATCGTCACACGATTACTGTCAGTAGACTTTGGAGTACACAGTATATACAATGGTATGCAAAGCCATTTGATCTTCTAACAGAGAATATGGGAGCAAGTTTAAGTGGTATGACTGTAATTTTCGATCATGGTCGTGGATAATAAAAAGATTTCAGAGCTAACATAATTTTGTAACAGCCATGGCTGGTAGTGTTCGTTGGTAATCTAATACCGTTTGTGGCTGGAGGTAAAGATAGAAGAGAGTACATACTGCCATAATGATTGCATTATGCGATTTATACGGGATAAGCAGACGGATTTTTTTTCTAAATATCGTTTTCATCCGCTTTCCAGTTATTCAAATACATAGTTTGTGTATAAACCCACACTTACCTACTAATAAGTACAAGGCCGCGTTTGGTCGCCCGGAGCGTTGAAAACGAACCGTCTAGATATTATGTATATTATAATAACAAATACAAGCCGACCCGGCAGACGGTACTCGCTATCGTCTAATTAGCTTTCAGCAGAATCAGCGTGGGGTCTAAAAGATTTGGCGGATAAACAATTAACATGCGGGATCGAGACAAGCCTAAAGGCATGACATCTTCGGAAATTATATAACAATTATTTTGATAAATGAAGTTGGTATTTCCGAATGGAATTTCAACAAATATTTCTTTGGTAAATCTGATGAAAATACAATTTCTAATTGACTAAATGTGATACGTTGAGATTTTTTTGATTAATAAAAAAAACATGCAATTTATTAACAATTATTATTATCGGCAAAAAATAAAAAACTTATTTCCTTTTGCGAGGGAAATAAAGTAAATTTTATGATTTTGGTTTATCGGTTATACAATTTAAATGCAAAAAGACGCATATAGGAAGACTTTTATAAGAGTATGAGTTGGTAGGTATTTTTATGTGTGAAGTAAAGGATGTCCGTTATTTTCGACTTCGAAAATGGTTGTTCCCAGAAGTCCTTTATGTTTCAGATAGAAAAAATATAAATAAAAAAATACCTCCGAAAAAATCGATAGTTAATTTATTCTTGTTTAGTTCTTTATTTAAAAATGAGGAAACTTTCTTTTCTATTTAGTTTTTAATTGATCCAAATTGAAACTGTACGCAAGTCGATTCTCATATAGTCACATTCTTCCTATAATACCTCTCTGTGCTCAGTTCACTCATTCTTTTCTATATTTTTTTAATCTAAAATAGACAATAGTCACCTGACTTTTTTCTGTTGAGTATATAAAAAAGGTTAACTATTGTAAAGACTACAGTGTACAACATATCCCCTTTTTTTTCACCTTATCCAATTAAGATCGGCTAGCCAAATATTCTTTCTTCACAAATATATTGATTCTCAAATTTCTATATCTTTTATTTTTAATAACCTCTTATGTATTCACACTATCTCTAACTTTTCATACATTTGAGTCGCTCATCTCTATTTACCACTTTACTTTACTCCTTTTGTTTTTTTACATGGAGGAACCATTTTAATATATTTTTTCTGATTATTACTGACATAGTCACAATTATTCTAAAGATCATTGTAGACCTCACTATAATTTTACAATATTTTTCTTAATCTTAATGTCACTTTTCTGTCCTATGACGCCTGCAGTTACCTCTTTCCGCCTCACACAATTACCCGTATTCGACATTTTTTATCGTTTCGTAGGTCTAAAAATGCTTAATCAGGCGTTGAACGCTAGTACGTGTACACACCGTACGATTAACGTGTGTAGTACAATAGAAGACGCTATCAGAACTACTTCAGAACCAATAATGTACTGAATTGCTTCAGATTGGACTGTGGGTATCAAAGAAAAATAGCGTTTTTGAATTAAACACCGTGTGGTTGGTGTCATAAGTCTGTGTAAACCGTGCGGGACGCCTGTGGCGATTAAATAAACCGTGCCAAGTATAGTTTTCACTAGATTTTAAGGAGTAAAATTGTAATGAAAAATGTTACTGGTCAGCAGTCGATCTATTCAGATTTATATGCTTGAGTGGTCCTCCGGAAGTATGGGTCATATTACGTACCTCAGCAACATACATACGTATATAAAATATCCTCATATATATTTGTGTGAAAAAAAAAGTTTCTCCTTCAATTTCCATTTACCTACAATTGTAGTGTACTAATTAAACAAGACTGGTTAGAAGATGTTCCAATGAAATAATAATAACTACGTATCGTCGTTTCTCGTCACGATGTTATTAGATTTATTATGAATATGATATACAGAAGTATAATTATTCACTAAGGTATGCGAAAAAATATAATATTATAATTACACAGACGCACGTAACCGATATTTCATGTTATATTATCAATGAAATTCCTTTTTAGATATCTATTGATTTTATATTTCATATAGATATATATATATATAATATATATTTACATTTTCAAAAAATTTTAATTACATTTTTTTTAAAAGTAGTCTTTAATAAAAATTATATTTCCGAGTACAGTTTACGATTTAAATTTCTCCTGTTCTCAAATAGCGTGGCTTAAGCTCACATTCGACTATTAAATTTCAAAAATTGCATACCGGTACCTATTAAAATAGTATAAAAGGTTTTAATGATGACTTGTTTATTTAACTGATTATATTTAATACGTGCATACATTTATAAGCTAGTTTTCAACAAGGCTTTACTAAAAGTCTAATTACTCAAAATGTTTTAATGAAAAATGTAAAACTGGCACTTATGGCCCAATAAGTTCTTATCATTTTTTAACAACTTCTACAAAATAGGTTCCGATTAACAAGCATCTTACGTTTTTGTTTGTAATGTATAACGTAAAACGTTGCAGTTCCAAAAAAAATACAAGACTGTCGTTAGCGCTAAAGATGAAAACATTGTCGCCGTAGTACGTATACGCGGAGAGTGTATTATTTTATGGTTAAGGGTGTTTTAAATATTATTTATTTTATTAAATTTCCATAGTAAGGGTGAAGTATGTTTATAGTGCCAATAATAGAAAAATACTCAAAATTGTACAGAGTTAGATTCATTAGTGACATGATCTGTCCTAAATCAGTTGTTTCCTTTATATTTACTTTTACAGTATAAATCACAATATCACACTTAAAATGATTGATCTGAATCATAAATCGTTAAAAAATATCAAGAGAAATTCAAAACCCGTACTAATATATTATTGAAATAACCAGCTACCTAATTTTAAGATGTTTATGTTGAATTCGTTTTGGTAAAATAAAAAATTTAATGGTTTTTATTTTAACCATGGGCCGAATACAAATTACCCAAATTATTAGAATT